CAAATTCATCCTTTCTGTAAAACACAGATTGGACAGTGGTAGTCACGTGGGAGTCACCCTCCCGTGAACTGTCCACAGCCCAATGCATCTTGAAATAGTAGATATCACAATTCAGTGAAGTCTTGGTCTGAGAAATTAAACACTAAAGTTCTTGTACAACACTGAGGCACATGAGTTACTGTAAACTATACACTATGTACATATAGGGACGGCGGTATTTGAGCGAAGTGGCAAATGGTGAAAAACATTTTACACTAGCAATAAATAATCAGAGCTTTGAAGATCCAGGTACACGGATCATGTCCATAAGTCCACAATATTACAAAGTCTCTGATATAACAATAAGAAGATTACGAAAATGACAAATATAAGATCAGTGCTTTGAAGATCCAGGTACACGGATCATGTCCATAAGTCTATAAAGTTTCAAAGACACTGGTAAAATGACACAATGAAGATAAAATAAAGATAATAGTACTATGTACAATATATACACATTTCACCATTTGCTGTTATGGAAGATGCCTCTTGGGCGCTTTGCTGCAATTTCTATAGTAGGATCATAATTTATCAGATTACGGATATGTTCGTATTGAGAAAGTTCTATTTTAGCATAGAAATTGTGGCTCGTGGTGAGAATTTGATCAGCTATGGGTCTTATTTTTAGTTCTTTATGTATCTGCAGGTTACGTACGAACCATGGGGAGTCAACAATTTGTCTGAGTATTTTGTTCTGAAAGACCTGTAGTTTGTGTCTATAAGTCTTGTACACAGTGGCCCAGATAGGCACTGCATAAAGTAGGGTGGGTCTTATTAAGCTGGTATAGATCTTCTTCTTGAGACTGATATTTAATTTAGCATTTCTTCTTATTAAAGGGTAAAGAGACATTTTAGCAGCGGTGGCTTTGCGCAAGGCATACTCCGTGTGTTCTTTGAATAACAGCTGTGAGTCGAAGACCACTCCTAGATACTTGGTACTTGAAACAATTGCTAGGGCTTGATCATTAATTTTTATATTTACATTTACAGGAGTGAACTTCCGATGACGTCTGAAAAGGAGAATTTGGCTCTTTGACGGATTTACTTTTAATTTCCATGAATCATAATAGTGTGCTATGATATTTACTGCGCTTTCAAGTTTATCTACAGCGAGCTGAGGTTTTAGCGACTTGGTTAAAATTGCTGTGTCGTCGGCATATTTCACTACTTTTGCATTCAAAGGAACCGGCATATCATTCGTGTAGATATTAAACAGAAGCGGTCCCAGAACGCTTCCTTGAGCCACTCCGCTTTTAATTCTTTTTCTTGAAGAGAGAGAGTCATTAATTTTTACCTGAAAGGTCCTGTTTTTAAGATAGCTTTTCATGAGCTTAATAAAACTGATGGGCAGATGAACAAGGTGCAGCTTGTAGAGGAGACCCTCATGCCACACCTTGTCAAATGCTTTTTCTAGGTCTAGAAAGCAGCTGGCGATTGTGTTCTTTTTTGCGAAGGAGTCTGCAATAAATTCTGTAACGTTCAGTAGTTGGTGCACGGTACTATGACCGGCTCTAAAACCAAACTGCTCTTTACATATAATTTCCTTATCCTCTAGATGTTGAGTTAATCTCTTTTGGAGCACACGCTCAAATACCTTTCCCAAACTGGGGAGAAGGCTGATCGGACGGTAGGAGTTTAAGTCCTTTGGGTTTTTCCCCGGCTTGACAAACGTAATTATCTGCGCGTGCTTCCACTGTTGCGGAAAGTAATTGAGCCTCATACAAGCATTGACTATGTTTGTAATGAGGACTATGTAGGTTCTTGGGAGAGCTTTGAGAACCGTATTGGTGATGCTATCGTAGCCGGGAGCTTTCCTGGACTTTAAGTTGCTAATTATATTACTTATTTCTGCTGGAGAAGTTGGGTTGAAGTGATTATTACAATTTCTGTCAGCTAGGTGGTTAATGAAATTATCGACTTCTTCATCTGTCTCATCATTATTAGAGGCATGATTGGTGAAAGTCTTTTCTAGATGCTGCGCAAGGGCTTCAGCCATGTCATGTTCAGAATAAGCAATTCCACTACTGGTGTGGAGAGGACCAATATTTCTGTTATTAGTATTCCTTAAGGAATTTCCAATACGCCAGACTGTATTCGGAGAGAAATCCATGGAGTCTAAGAAATCGTCCCAACAATTTGATCTGTACTCTAGGAGGAGGGTCTTGATGTTCCTAATTTTTCTGTTCAGATTTCTTTTAACAGTGGGATCGCCTGTTCTTCGCCAGATTTTTGCTGTGCGGTTTTTGTCTTTTCTTTTATTTTCTCAATGATGTGGTCGGGGAGCTTATCTTTCTTATAATCTTTGAATTTGGTGGAATCATCAAGGGCTTTCTTAATTTTACTATTGATCTTAGTGATATTGTACTCAATGTCTACAATATCGGCAAGAGCCGGGTGTGCAGGTAATTGTTCTAGAGAATTATTGAATTTCTGCCAGTTTATAATTTTCTTTAAAGGCAAGGTCTTCTCAAAGCCATGGTAAGTAAATTTAACAGGGAGATGGTCAGAGGTTAATTGATTAATCACCTGTAGGAAAGGGATTTGCTGGATATTTTTTGTAATAACAATGTCGAGAACATCCGAGCTGCCTGTATGATGATACCTGGTAGGTTCCGTTGGTCCAAAAATTCTAAGGTCATTCGTAAGAGCATAGTTGTAAAGTTTGTTGCCATTTGTGTTATTTCTTTGAGAATTCCAGCTATGATGTTTAGAATTCAGGTCCCCTGCTATAATAACAGGGTGAGTGATATTGTTAAAAATTTGCAAGTCATTGTTGGTGAGAATGTTTCTGGGGGGATTATAAGCCGAGATGATGACAATCGGCTCATTTGTGCGCGAATGCACAACGATCGCAGTGGTTTCAATGCTGCTGCTATTGGGAATATTAAACTCGTTGGCGTGCAGATGCCTTTTAATTAATATCATAGTACCGCCGCCCCTGTTATGGTCTCTGTCCGTCCTGAATGCGTTGTAACCATTGATCTTGAACTTATCATTAGGTCTGAGCCAAGTTTCATTCACTAGAAACACATCAATATTATGGTGAGTTAAGGAAGTTTGCAACTTCAACGTTCTTGTGGCGAATACCGTTGGCGTTAAAAATATGCGAGATTTAAACTGCTGGGGGCAGTGAGGTGAGTTCTTGAATTACTGTTAATGTGGTTAAAATTCATAATTGATGCTTGATAAAAGTTCAAAGGCTTCCCAGCCGACTTGGATTTTTTCCAATATTGATTTAGATTTTAAGAACCGCTCGAAGAGATTTTTTCCTTGCAGGAATAATTTCTTCAGCCAAATTATGAAATCGGAAACGGAGCCTAAGTTCTCACTTTCGACAGCTGCGTCCTGATTGGTGGATGAAGCATTCTGCTCATTAACATTTTCACTGCTATTTTGGGTTATGTTTCTTCTTGGAAGAGGTGGGAAATTTTCTAAGTTGATATCAGGGGGACTATTTTTTGAAGTTTTTCTCGCTTCTTTTTGGAATTCTTTTTCTGCAATTTTTCTTTTCAAGTTATCCGGATGCATTTCGCAACCACGGTACGAACTAATGTGGGGGCCTCCGCAGAGGCAACATTTGCCGGGTAAGTTTCTGTCTTTTGTACATGTAGTAGTAATATGGTTTTGCCCGCATTTTAAACACCTGGGCTTGTGCTTACAGTGAGCACGACTGTGGCCATACCTCTGACAGTGGTGACACTGTTTGTGTCCTGGAGTGGGTCTGAAGGGAGTAATTTAATTTTAACAGCCAAATCTAGAATATGCGTTATGTTGTATATTTTCTTGCCTTCTATGCTGCGTTTGACTTCAACCATGAAAGTGGGTAGTTTGACAATTTCATTGTCTATTTTCTTGGTAACTTGTCTTACTGTTTTAACCGGGATGTTATTGTCTATTAGTTCTTCCATAATGTCCTCGGGTTTGGTGTGAACAGATAATTTTTTGATTACAACTCTTATCGGTTTATCCTGAGGGAGAGGAAAGGTATGGTAAGGAATTTCCTTTTCGTCTAGGTATCTCGTGACTTCACGATACTCAGTGTCCGATTTAACTTTAATGTGGATATCACCACCTTTCTGTACACATTCCATGGATATGGTAAATTGCTTAATATTATCTCTGAGGGCTTTCCAGTCCGTGACATCTGAAATGATAATCGGCGGAATTCTGTTAGCCTTTTTGTTGGGCGTAATGAAATCACCTTCATTATTAGTACTGTCTTCTTGTGAGTTTAGCGAACTAACATTTGTAGTGTCCATTTTATCATCTATTTTTAGTGAAGCGTATTTATTTTTGGTTGACGTCATTGAACCGTTGCTGCTTTCACTAAGTGTGCGTTTGTGGTATTTTTTGGGTGTAATCCATTTTTCATTATAATTATTTATTTTGCTTATTTCCTGAATAACATTTGAAACTGGTTTGGGTTGCTTTGTAGTTTGATTAGATGTCGAATCATTGCTAGTATTAACTAACGGGATGCTACCGCAGATATTTTGCACTGAATCTCCTGCAGCTTGTTTAATCGCTACACACTTCTCAAGCTCTGCATAGGTTTTTTTGGAGCCATTGCTCCATTTCTGGGGTGATTTTCCGTAAGCCATTTCTAAGCGTGTTAAACGCTAAGTTAAACTCAGACCATAATCTGCCTACAATCCTCAATCGTGCCATGTTTAAGAATATTCTCAACAATATCGCGCTTATTAAGGATTGCTAAATCATTTATCTCATCCATATTTACCAAGTCAAGCTATCCTATCGATGTACAAGACAATGTCCATAATGAAAGCGTAGAAATCAAAAATATACTCACGAACTTGTCCAGATGAGCTACTCCAAGTACACCTCTCGAAAGAGACCAACGAAAAACACTTACTATTTATAAATAAATTTCCTTCACTTCCTAAATTTTAGAATCACACTCGTAGAGCAAAATAATAATACGAACTCAAACAACATTCGTATCAACTCAAATTCTGATGCAGTAAGTCTTCAGACAGGCTATTCTTATATGACCACAACTGATGAGGATTTGACATGGCACATGTCTGTAACATAACAACAAACAGATTTCGTAGCATTCTTGGGGAGCAAGTCACAGCAGCTTCTTCCAATGTTGCATTCCAGTGTTCATCATTTCCCAAAGTTCCTCTAACTTGGCAAGCTTCTTTATAAGTTTTGCATACTCTTCCTTCCACTGTTCGCAATTCTTGAAATGACTTGAGGCCTTGAACTTCAAGCAACAACAATCTCAGGTGAAAACATTCCGAGTTGTTCGGATGTACGGTATACACTCGACCGAGAGCGTCACTCGACTTGATTCCAGGACTCGACATTGTTTCCAATTTTACGCCCGTTCCATTTCTTGTTTGCATTCTTCCATGTATAGTACTTTGGCACTCATCTTCAATACAAAAAGCAGAAAAAAGAGGTCAAAGTTGTTTCTTGAGGAGCCTGAGCCCGTTCAATTGCATTAGCAGAGGTGAAATATACTCGTTGTCCATTCTCAAGGTGGACACTTAAATGAATAACAGTCGGATAACGCTCGTGAATCGGAAAGTTCAGAATTCTCCACACAGCTTCATTGCTACTGATATATCTTCCCATTTCATATTGATGAACTTCATTTATTTCATTTCCAGAAGTCCTTACATCAAAAACAGCCATGTCAGATCCTTTGTTTACATATTTACAGACATACTTTATGGACTTCACTGAATTACAGTATTCAACGTTTATATGAGCATTGAAAATTTTTGAGAGAAGAGGACAATAGGAAACAATCCATCTATTTTCCACTAACACTTCACACCTTCGAACATTGATGTTTGCAGTAAATCCCCCGTCTTTTGGCTGTCTCCGACGATAAAGTGGGTATCTTGTCCTGTCTGTGTTTCTCTCCGAAAATTACGTGGGTATTTTTTAGTACATTTTCCATTTGTCATGCATGGAGAATGAGGATTGATGAGTCCACACGGGCCATAAAACATCTGTGTAGTTATGCATTTAAACAAATTTTTTATGCATTTAAACAATTTTTTATGCATTTAAAAAATTTAAATAATTTTGAGTTTCACTTTTCCACTTCATAGCAGCACAGTACTGCCATCTTTTTGACATTGATCCAATGTCACATGCTGGATCAGAAGCATAATCCACTGCTGGATTATAGAAGAATGCTGCATTTTCTTTTTCTCTCCATATCTGCAATCGAGCAGAAACAGTAGCAAATCGATCCTGTTGTAGTCTTCCTTCTCTTTCTTCAGATGTTTCCCTTGCTCTTGCTGCTGCTCTAATCGTCCTATCCCTTTCTTTTCTTGTTTCTCTTTCTTCAGTCATTTCCCTTACCCTCGCTGCTGCTGTAGTATTCCTATTATTTTCTTGCCTTGATTCTGTTTCTTCGGGCGTTTCAATTGACCTCGCTAATGCTTTAGCCCTCCTATTATTTTCTTGCCTTCTTTCTCTTTCTTCGGGCGTTTCCATTGCCCTTGCTACTGATGTAGTATTCCTATTATTTTCTTGTCTTGATTCTCTTTCTTCGCGCGTTTCCCTTGACCTCGCTAGTGCTGTAGCCCTCCTATTATTTTCTTGCCTTATGTTTGTTTCTTCGGGCCTTTCCCTTGCCCTTGCTGCTGTTCTAAATGTTCTATCCCTCTCTCGTCTCGATTCTCTATCTTCGGATGTTTCATTTGTCCGGGATAATTCTCCACGTTCTCAATCACTTGCTCGTCTTGCGCGCAAACATTTCTTTTTTCTTGGTGGCTAAGGCATACTTTCAAGAATCTTCTAGAAAGTATTCTGAAAACGCAAATAATAATTAGTGCAATTTTATCACTTTTTCTCTCGACAAACGTCCAGTACCCAAGAAAAATATTAAATTTAAAAACTGCGTTGAATTTCACTCTGCAGAACAACTTTATTAAAAAAAAGCAATAAAAATGTATTACATATATAAAAAAAAATTACAATGAACTAAGCAAACTTTTCAATATCTTAAAAACAGTGAAATGAGCAATAAATAACATAAAAGAATACAAAAAAACAAAAAATTCTGAAAAGCAAAGTATAATTAATGATATTTTATCTTATATTTTCAAGAGAAAAAATTACAATGTGAAGTGTCTGGTATGCAAATATAGGAAAATAACACTTCTCTGACTCCAATAGAACCAATATTTTATTCCTTACGAAGTTATAGATTCTTATTCATGAAATTTATTTGCATTTTACATGCACGTTGAATCGCGTGACAGAAAACCGAACTTTGTTTACTTCGTTCTTCGCGGAGACTAAAAAGTGTGCCATTCCGCTTTAACTAAATTTAATTAGAAACTTGACGGAACTGAAGCGACACTACACAAAGAAATAAGCTATATCCCTTAATACAAATATTAATTATCCTAATAAAAAAGTTAACCAACTTTCCGTTGAAGAAAAAAAAATCATGCAAAACTTTTCAATATCTTAAAAACAGTGAAATAAGCAAAAAATAACATGAAAGAAAGTCAAAAAAACAAAAAATTCCGCGCAAAATTTTACTCTGCAGAACAACTTTATAAAAAAAAATCAATAAAAATGTATTATATAGTATATAAAAATACGACAGTGAAATATGCCAATCTCTTAAAAAACAGTGACATAAGAAATACGATGAAAAATTGTTGCCAAACCCATATTTCTAAAAGAATGAAACTATTGAAACTGATGCAATTTCATCAAAAATCTATCAACAACAATAAGAAAGGAAAATTGTTGCCAAAATCACATTTAAGAAATTTTTTTAAAATACAAAATATTATCATTTTTCCAAAATTCTTTTTGTAAAAGCAGTCGCAAGGATGAAAGTTTAACGTGTCCAAAAATCAAAGAAAAATAAACTGTGCATTTTAAAAAAAAACTTTTTAGAAAAAATCCCGTTGAAAAGGTGTTAAGCTCACTTTGTTAAATAAATTCGTATTTAATCGATTTATTGAAACACGAAATTTATTTTAAGTTCGTAAAATAGCTAAGTGCCTATGTTTTATGACGATGTGAAAATGGAGTGTGAGTAAAATCTCGCTTTTCTATAGCCCATTATGTCTCAAAATGACGTAATTTCGTCACAAAACATAAAATAAAAAAAAAAAATTCGAATTCGAATTTCGAAAAAATCGCTTTGAGGTGCACTGGCTCTTGTCTAGATGCACCTATGTAGCAAATTTCGTAGCTGTGGGTCTATTAGCTTACGCGCAGCGCGAACGAAAGACATACATACAGACACACACACAGACAGACTCTTTTATTATATGCAGAGATATTATCTCTTAATATAAATTTAGTAGAATGTATCAAAATGAGGGAACCCATGTAGGAAGTTAAATTCCGAAAATCGTTTTTTAAAGGTACTTGAATGTAAATCGTGAAAAAACTCCTTGAATTTAAATTCAATAACAAAATTTCAGACTTTGAAAAAGAAATTAAAAAATTAAAATTAAGTAATTATCGCTATTGATCGGAAATTAGTTGACTTTTCAAGGGGAATAAACCAACTCCCGTTCAATGAACAATAATAAATAAATGCGAAAGTGTTTCGTCTTTTACTCAAGTAAGAATGATGATGTCAAACTGGCAAATTAAGTTAGGCCAAAATTGTAGTTCCGTGAAGTGATTGGATATATTACCAGAGGATCAAAGAAGTCATTCTGAATGAAGCATTTTCGCTAATACAAGATTCTTTAGAAATTTTGAGTGAAAAGCCAATTTATGTAGTAAAATTTACAAGATACTTGAGTAAATGTCTCCCGACACCTTCGGTTTTATGCATGTTAATTCAAGACTATTTTAATAAAAATAAGCATAATATACAGTAGTAATCTTAACTGGAATTATGAAATAGAACTCAAAGTAATTGTAATAAACGTGAGAAACATAAGAAACATAATTATGCTATCTTTGAAAAAACAAATCAAATAAAAGTTGAAAAATTGAAATATATATATATAATAAGAAATAGTGAAATGTAAAATGTTAAATGTACATGAAATATAAAAGGCCAGAAAATGCGTTAATTAACGTACTTTCTTTCTAGTGGGATATCAAAAAAGTGTGCTCTTCTGTGTCTTACTCAGAAGGGAGTGTGTCCGAAATTCTGAAATGCCGTTATCGGCAGTGGGGATACTTTGAATTATTACAGGCGGTGAATCTTTGAGAAGCTATTTTGGGTACGTGAGAGCTCTTCCCCTAAATTCGTCTGTTCTCCCAAATTCGAGATCCTTCTATGTTATGTAATAACCTCAAATTAATCAATCATAGCTTGTCTGTACAATTACATGAGACTTAGTATAAATACTCTTGGCACAAAAAGCTACGTCATTCTTCTCCTAGCCTCCGCCACGCCAACATCCACTCTGCATCGCTTCCCCGTCTAAAATGCCTACGTCTTATTTAAAAAAAAAGTCATTGTATATAGAAATTTATCATATTAATTATGATTGAATAAGTGTCTCCCAAACTAATTGGATATGTATGAAAAAAAAGATTGGTGCCGGTACTGATGTCATCTTCGTCTTTTCTTGCCACTCTGCCAGCACGACTACGTAACAAAATTGTTACATATATATATTGCGGGTTGCAAGAAAGTAATTTCGGTTTGCACAAATAGATAGTATTATGTTTCTTTTGTTATTCTACTGTCAAACACATACAAATTCCGTATATTTTTGTTTACAATTATTAGTTTGCAGTTAATTTTAACATGGGGTGCAAAAATAAACATTTTCGACATATTTTACTTTCTTTTCCAAAAGGCAAGAGAGCGGCTGAGATTCACAAAGAGATATGTGAAATTTATGGTATTGACTACTTAACTCATGTGTCAGAATTGGTTTAAAAAATTTCTTTCTGGCGATTTTTCACTTGAATATCGTTTCACGTTCTGGCCGACCTTTTGAATTTGATGATGACAAAATTAAAGCCATAACTGAATCGAATCCTCTAATAATATTATTCAAGAGACTGCCTAGTCACACACAACAAATGAAATCACATAAGATGTTTTGGACTCGTTAAGAAACTGGATATTTGGGTTTCGCGTGAATTGAAAGAAATTCAGTTAACAGATTAATAATTTCAATGCACATTTGAAACGTAATGTAATCAACCCTTTTTAAAAACTAAGTATGAGTGGAGATGAAAAAATAAATCTTTTACAGTAACATTAATCGAAAAATAGCATGATGAGTCAGCACAAATCATATCGAAAGCTAAATTGCATCGGGAAAAGGTCACGCTGTCAATTTGATGGGATTACAAGGTTTTGTGTATTTGAACTGCTTCCAAGCAACCAAACGATCAGCTA